TTTTTTTTTTTTTTTTTGGTAACCGAAGCGAAGGAATGAAGAGTGACGCAGTGCTTGGTCTACCTAAAAGGACTACGCAGAGTCGAGAATTTTGTTCCAGCGGGTCCAGTCAAGAAATTAAAAAAAAAGGATTTCTTTTCGAAACGAAATTTGTTGGTTGGAAAAGAAGGAAAGAAGATTTGAAGTCGAGCAAAGACGAGAGCTATTAAGGGCGTCGCTCCACTGCTCAAAATTCTTAATGTATCCGGAGGAGGTAATGGCCTCAAGACATTCGAAACGTTGGATCAGTGTGAACGTATCTGTTGAGCAGTGGCTCGAGGACCTAAGTCGCAGAAATTTGAGCGGGATGCACGGCTGTAAGCAACTGTCTGTCTTTCACAGCTTCTAAGCAAAATAGCACGGCAAAAAGGTGGGAGGAAAAAAAAAACAAAAAACAAAAAAAAACAAAACACCGTAAAAGACCTCCGTGTAACCTCTACTCGCCTCCACTGCATAACCCTAATCCTAACACCATCCAAATCCCCATCATACCACGTCGAGTCACATGAGCAATTAATGATAAGAACATCACATACAAAAAAATAAATAGATTAAGAGTTCGAATCCCCTCCCTTGTCACGTGATTCTCCCAATGCCCTTCGCGACTGTTCGAGGAGCAACCAACACCCAGAGGTCGAATCAAATCGCGAAAAGTGAAAAAAAAAACAGAAACCATAATGATAACGGAAAAGGTTTAATGTCTAGTCATCAATGCAAAGACGCAACGGAGATCAGATACGTGGATTCAATTGTGAAATCGATTCCACTGTCCTCTTCCCGGTAAATTATCCCTCGCCAGAATGAATGTACCCTCAGCCGCCACCGCCAGCGAGAGACCAAGAAAAGAGAAAATAAGGAAAGCAGGCAAAGTTCTGTACCTGTCAATAGAGTTGAATTAACACTAAACGCGGGTAAGGAGGGACGTACAGCGTTCGCTCCCCAGCAAACAGACGAAAGAAGCCTCGGCAGCAGCGAAGGACAAGACAAGAAACGCCGCTGGGGTGACCAATGGGGGAGCGGAGGGACAGGCTGCTCGATCTCTAAGATTGCAGCCAAGAACCGCACACACAAGAAAAAGAAAGAAAACGAACGTTAGGACAGCTGTAGCTTCAGATCGGGCGCTCGAGAGCAGAACGCCGTTCTACCGGGTTTTCGAGAGCAGTAGACCTTGCAGCCATACCCCCAGATGCGGCCATCGGTGATTTTCTAGATCGAGAAACGAGGAGCACTAAAGCGCCACCAAGAATAGAGGCGACCAGACAAGCTGCCACAAGGCTGCCAGCCAGCACTCCGACGCTGACACCTCCCCTTGGTGGCGTTTGGACGGTTGCCGGTGAAGGACTTGACAGCGTATCGGCCGATCTACCACTGACACGTGTACTACTCCCATCATGTCCTGCGGAAGACGATGCTCCGGCTGCTGGATATGCACCCGGTCCGATTGATTGCGCCGCCGGTGGTGACGGTGATGGTGATGATGATGATGATTCCGGCGAAGGTTCTGACAACGATGACGATGGATAGGATTCTGTTGATGATGCTGGCGATGCCGATGGATAGACTGTAGTAGCGCCGGTCGGTGCGGCCGGTGTTGGGAATGCACCGCTGCATTCGCCTAGAGCTGACTTGTTGATTGGAAATTGGAACAGCTCTCCATCCGAGGTCGACACGTACAAGTGACTGTCGTCATTGTCCAGAGCAACCGTCCCGATCGAGCGATATGCTGAGGTAAAAGTAATCACGTTCTCGACGGTGACCACGTTTCCTCTCGGTTTTTCAAAAGCCGCCCGCAGGATATACTTCCCAGCATATGCAACGACGAACAAGCTGCATCCATCTTGTGTCAACACAAAATCCCCCAACCCCAGCTCTTTGGTTTGCGGAATCTTGATTTCGTGATCCACCTCTCCACTAATGAGGTCCAAGCCTAGAAATGTTCTGTGAGGTATGTCCCAGGCGTATAGGTAGCTCCCATCTTGGAGAAAAGTGCGATGACCGAAGAGAACACTCCGGAAGTCCGTATAGCACGATTTACTTCGGAAATCGTTAACGAAGCTGCCCGGCGAGTCCCCATCCATGACGGAGTAGAGAAGGCAGCTTCCATTTCCCACATAGAAAATAGTGTGGTTAGGATTGAATGCACCCGCGTAACCCAGGAAGTTGGAGATCTCGTACGTGGAACTGGAACCATCCGTGGTGTTCACGAATGCCAGAGCGTGCCCGTAACAGGGCAGAACGAGATGCTGCTCGCTCCGCGACAGATCGAACGTTGACAACAAATACCGTGTAGAGGTTGGGAAGTCACTTACCGCTGTGCCGTTCCTGTTATCGTCCCCCCTTTCTACAGTGAGCAAGGAGGAGTTGGCCTGAGCGGGCCCAGATCCGGCCATGCCTCGCATATCACACTTGTGAATGGACAGTCTATCGACTGCATCTTGTGCAGTATAATTGAAGCAGGAATCCCGCTGCAAATAGAAGAACACCCCCGTCTGGGAGCTAAATACGACACCCCGAATGAAGTGAAAACACGTAGGGTTACCGGCTGTTGGACTCAAGAGCTGAGTGGTTGTCAAAACCACTCGGGGAGCTCGAAGAAGAGTCGTGTTTATGACGGAGAAAGGACTTGATGGCTCTGCCTGGAGCTCTCTCGCTCCTTGCATATCGCCAACTTCCTCATTGTACGCACTCTCCGCTCCCGCAACGGACTTCCCTCCTCTCTGCTGCGCTGTCCAACTGATATCTGCTCCGACTGCCACTATCACCCGTAACGGCATGCCCATCATCATCATCATCATCAATCCTATCATCACCGTCAGCATCGTCATCGAGCTCGAGACACGCAGGCCCATAACTCGTTGCCAGAGGAACGGAAGGAGGTTGGAGGATACTAATTCACCACTGGAGAGCCAAAGAAGCGTAGGTCAGTGGACGATGCAGAAGCGAGACGTGGACTTCGGAGGATGTCTGAATGAACTGCTTCCACAACCAGAACCAACGGACAGCAGGAATCGGGCAGCGGATGCACTGCGCCGTGGTGCAGACAGAGTTTTTTTTTTCTTTTTTTCGGGAGGTGCAGACAGAGTCTCCAGGCCGTGACCGTTCTAATCAAAGCAAAGAAAAAGGAAAAGAAAAAGAAGGGCGTGTGTGTGCAGAGAAGCCCCGCCGTTACGACTAAGAAAGCAGGCCAGATTGACCCTCGAGCGGATCTGAAAAGCAGCGTTGTCAGTTGTGGCTCCGCTAATCTTGTCAGCAAACTACTTACTCTAGTTACTTATCCCCTTCTCGTCTATGACAAGGCGACGGCGACGGCAGCCACGGGAGAAGATGCTCAGTGAAAGGGCAGGGGAAACAGCGAGGCAAGGTCGCACATGGAACATACTCACTCAGATGGACAATGGAATGTGCACACACACACACACACACACACACACACACAGAGACAGAGACATGACGTCAGTCCTCGTAAGAGAAGCCGCTACTAGTAGGCGAGAGAAGGCATCGGAGATCTCGAGGCCCGTCGAGGGCAGGACATACCGCGCTCGCAATGTCAGTGCGACAGTCGAGACTCTCTCCCTTGAATCACGTCTGCCCTCTACCCTCCTGCTCATGCTATGGCGTGGGGACGCACACGATGAGAAGTGGGACTGGCTATCATCAGATTCGAGCGGGAAAAGGTATAGAACCTCCCAGCGACGAAACCTTTGTATTCATTTCCCCCCAAACGGTGTAAAACGTTTCCCAGGCCCCAAAATGACTTTTCAAGTCATTTTTGCACCCTGGCTGGCCCGACAAGGCCCGCTGGCAAAAATGGCGGGAAAGTGTTTTCAAGGGTGCAAAAATGACCCAAGAAGTCATTTTGGGGCCTGTGCCACTTTATGGTCCATTTGGGGGATGTTAAGTACAAAGGTTTCGTCGCGGGAAGGTTCTATAACTTTTCCCTACTCTAGCAACTTGCTGAGAGGTCCCAGGGTCGAGCCGCCTCGAGCCCCTCTGTGCTGGGAAACCCCAAACTTTCGGTTTTTGTTCTGTTTTGTTTTGTTTTATTATAAAAGGGTCACAGCCTTGAGAGGGATAATTGGCGGAAAGCGCCCACGCCAAAACCTTTTCAGTTTTCGGCACCCAAAGTGCGGCCATTTGGTACTACCGGCCCAAATTTCTTCAGCCTAAGCTCCCTTGGCCTGTTTTTACCGGTTCATGAATTTGGCACTGTTTTTGCACCAGATTATAGCCCTTCTTTTTCAAAATACCGCCCTTATTCTATCCTTCAGTGGTACCACCCTCGGCCTCTTCTACATCAAAATGCGTCTTCCGCTGTTTATGCGTCAGATTCATGATCCGGTAGGGCCCTTGGAACGACGCGTGGGCCTGTAGTACCCCATATGGCAAACATTGGGCCGGTAGTAACAATCGGCTGAACTTTGGGCGCCCAAAACCAAAAAGTTTTTGGTGTGGACGCTTTCCACCAATTATCCCGCTTTGAGATATCCTCATCCACAAAACAAATAATAATAATAAAAACCGTTGGGAAAAATTGTTGTATGCCATTAAACTGGTTACGAACTTAGGTCTGCATTTCAACACTTTATGGATGTACCAGCTGAGAGAGACCCGTTGGTAAAACCACAATCTTTTGCCCCACCACAATCTTTTGTAGTTTGCTTCTAGTCAATGAGATGATTAAGCTAACAAGAAAGACAAAAAACAACGCAGCGATCATCTTCATCGACTTCGAGAAGGTGTACGACCACATAGATTGGTTTTTCCTAGACAAGTGCTTGGAAAAACTCGATTTTGGGCTATGCTTCAGACGATGGATAGAGATCCTTCGCGTTCACGCAATGACCAGGGTCATGGTGAATGGTAATTTAGCCTCTCCTATCATCCTCCTGAGATCAGTCAGACAAAGGGACCCTACCTCTTTGTCATAGTCATGGAAGCATTGGCAGCCAACGTGAGGAGTCGTGAGGACCCATAAGGACATGAAAAAAATTCAAGTGTCAAGCACTGCCAGCAATACCCAAGGAGGCAATCCGGGTTTGCTTATTGTTTGGAGATGATCTGACCCTGATGGTGGACGCATCTAGAGAATCAATGGACGAAGTACGACACATAATGGACCGCTACTGCAAACTGTCAGTCTGTTAGATATGAAAGTTAACTAGGAAACAAAACCCAAGGATGGTGGATACCTATGTAACACCCTGTACGCATACGGGGCGTCCGTATGGTTAATATGGTCGTACGTACGGCCGCCCAAGCGGTCGTGCGGGCCGTACATACGGTCGTACGAGCCGTTTTGGCGGCCTTCCCGGGGGGGGTCTGACACGTTGTGAGGAACCTGGGGAGGGGGCACCTGCTGTTCGCCGAAGCCAAGGGCAACGACGCCTGTCACTCGTCGCGCCCGCTTTCGAAGTCCTCAGCGATCAGCAGGGTTGAGTGTGTCTACCTTGCCTGCCACACACTTACTTAAAGATAGGCTTCAAGTTTTTTTCTGAACGTTGAAATATAATAAAAATTTAATTTCAAATTGATTGTTCTAAATCTCCCTACAGACCTGATGTCGGACTGACACCGTCCTCTCGACTCTCTTCACAGAGCGTCAGGTTCACAAATGAGATTCAGCAATTTGTTGGGCAACCTTTAAGCGTGGATCAGACCATAGGAGGCAAAAGGAATAATTTCGGATAAATCCTACGGGTACTTATCGTATTCCATACTGGCATTCTGTTTAGGTTGGAAAATAAATGGACAATATTTGAGGAAAAAGACGATGGGATACACAAAGGCCGTTTCAATTAATCAAAAGAGAGGAGGCGGCAAATAACCGCTAATAACGGTAGTCACCGCGGTCTCAGCTTACAGTCATTTTCTGTTATACGCACGAGCGACGAGTTGAAAGTAGTAGTCTCCTCTTCTCTGGGTTAGCTCTTAGTCCATATTCCCACTTCATACATAATAGTTCCTGTCCCTTAAACCTGTGACAACCTGAGTTTGTTCCTGTAGGGTTGTGACAAGTAGGCTCAAATTGATATATCGCCCCTGATTTTCAACACTAGAAGCCTTTAAAGTTTAAAGTCATTCCCTCTCACTTTTTTTCGTTTCCTCGCCTTCTTGGTCCAAAATGAAACGAAAGGAAATAGAAAAAATAAATAAATAAATTAAAATAAAACAGTAATGGATCAATCAGCAAGATCGTCTCAGTGTATACATAAGAACGAGGCGTTGGTCCGATCTAGAGGGCGACAACAGTTATCTGCTTCGAAGCGTTTTTAAAAATGAATCACCAGTTGATACTTAGAGAACCCCATTGCGGTATTCTTTCCCAGATCACGCCGCAACCCTGCTCGTTTACCCAGATAAGGCGCGAATCGTTTTCCAACAAAAATACGAAAAAATGCACTGCCACATTAGATGTCCTCAGTGTCCATCGACCTGCTGGATCGCTACTCAGAAACGGATCAGTGTACAATTCTTCAGTCAGATGATCAGCTGGAAAGGATTCCCGTTCTCCTGCACCTGTTCACCCCGTTTGTCAATGACCCTTCAACCCCCGTACATGAATGAAAACCAGTTCACGGACACAGCGTACACCTCGTTGGAAACCAGCTCACACTCGTATGCCCCGGGGAGGACTGCCTGACTTCACTTCACTTTCACGCACACGGTTTTTCTTTTTTTATTCTCTCTAACGCACTCTCTCTCGCTCTTAATCTCACTTTAATTCTTCATCTCACCTCGGTTTTAGAGCTGATAGAACATACCTATGCCGTTACTCACGAACTGATCATATCCAACGGGATTTGTTCGTTCTCCCCGCGGTCACTTGGGCAGATGATCGGTACTTGATGATGAACTGGGAGGGGGATCTTCAACTAACGGTCTGGTTCCTGTAATGACCCTTGATGAAATTGACGGCGTCACCCGCCTTCCTTTTCACGTCTCATTCGCACACAGGATAGTCCTCAGAGGGTGAGCCTTGCCCGGAACGCTCTTGATTGTGCGAGCCGATCTCGTCTCAGATATGACATCAGACACCCAGCCCAATCCTCTTTCACGTGCAGATTCCTTCACGGGTCTCTGCCTTTCTACCTCTCGACCGCGACAGTCACAGAGGAGTCGCACTCACTGCGCGTTCATCCCCGACCTGCTATCGCACAGTCTTCTCCCCTTTTTCGCCGCCCACCGCTTATTTCCCCATTCGCAGGTGGTAGTCTCTATCGCTCGCCTATACTGAAAGGCACAACATACTTGGACCATGAGGGAGTTCACCCCCGTTTTACTCAGCTCACAATTGAACTCCTTGCCCACTGCAACGCGTACGGTTCCTGCCGAGCGAGGAGCACAAGTATGGACAAATCAGATTCTATTCCCAGCGCGCATGGTTGATCCCGTTTCAAAAATGCTTGCTTAGTACCACGTTCGCAGGTTCTCTCCCTGGCAGGCTGCCGCTGCTTACATCGTGAGCACCCCTCCCTTCTCCGGATGTGTACCCCCACCTCGCGTGCGGGCCTCACTCTCTCCTCTGGCTGCTCCACACTAATTCCGTCACATTCACTTCTTCGTACTACAGTCGCCTTCACGTTCGACCAACCCTCTTTCCCTTGTCTGAGTCAAGCGAGGGGGGACGCCTGGCTCGCTTCACCTGCGGTTCCTCCACCATGTTCAAGTCCCGAATCCTTTCCTTCGATCACCGTCCGAACAAGCGTGTTTCGGGCGGCCTTCCGAGTGGACAGGGTACACCTGACGCACCCATTTCCAAAAATCTTCCCGTTGGCTCCAACTGTCCCAGACTATATACGGCCTGCGGTATCGTCCAAGCGTCAATCCCCACTACGCCCGCTGGCAAGGCCCGAAAAACGGAGCTCTAGTTGGCACTAGGGGCCTAGCGGATCAGAATCGGTGTTACTGGTAGTACCATGGTTTTTCCACGTCAGTAGGACAATTTCAGTCCTTAATTAGCAGCCGTACCAGGATCATAAATGCCAAACCGCATTCAGCTGTATCATTCCAGACCGAGTAACCGTTCCAAAACAACAGTGTCGAACTCTCGAGAGCCGTTCCAAAATTAATGCTATCAATCCCCAGTGAGTTTCCGCAGTTCCAGTTCACACTAATTTCCGAACCAAACAGAACGCCATTATCAAGTTGCCACAAAATCAAAATTGTATCAGGGTAATGACATTGAGCTGCAGTGAGTCACGACAATCCTAGAGGAAACCAGACCTCAACATT